TCTAATCCACGGGGCTTTTCTGAGGAATCTCCACACTGATTTCCACAATAGTTATAGTAGTCTACCTACCTATCAACAGTGGAGAAGAGTTCTTTTCCCCTACAGCCCCACCAGAATTTGTTATCCACTGTTTTTTTGATGGTAGCCATTTTTCCACAGGTAAGATGGACTCTCACTGTTGTGTTAATTTGCATCTCTTGAATGATCAATTATGTTGAGTATCTTTTCATGTATTTATTTGCCATTTGTATTATTCATTTACGAAGTGTGTATTCATCTCAATTGCCCATTTTTGGTTGACTCTTTGAATTTGAGGAGTCTGATTTTTTTTCTAGTTCTTCATACGTTCTAGATAGAAGTCCTTTGTCTGAGTGACAATTGACTATAAATTTTTCCCTCTCGATGGGTTGTCTTTTTACTCTGTTGGTGATTTCTTTTGCTGTGCAGAAACTTTTTAATAAGGTAAGGTACTGTTTGTTGATTCTTTGTCGTATTTCCCTTTCAGTCTGAGTTTTGTTCATGAAGTCTCTACCTGTACCCTGTCTTTCAGATTTCTACCTATTTTCTCTTGCAGTAAATTTAGTATTTCTATCTTAATATTTAGATCTAGATCTTTGATCCATTTAGACTTTATTGCAGTGCATAATGATAGATATGGATCTAGTTTTAGTTTTCAGTATTTAGACAGTTTTTCCAGTACCATTTATTAAACTATCTTTCTTCCAGTGAACATGCTTGCTTCTTTGTCCAGATTAAAGTGGCCAAGTGTGTTTAGGGTGGCATCTGCATCTTCTATTCTGTTTCACTGATCCTAAGGCCTGTTTTGGGGGGGCTGCATTTTTTCTGCCAGTAAATTATGCATTTTTTTATTTAAAGAAAAAAGGCAAAACAAAAAAAAGGGTAGAAATAGAATTTAAAAATAACAGTAAGAAATCAGTAGTTGATAAATTACATATTGTTATCTCAGAAGTAGTTGTTCAAGTTACTACACAGTTTTTTTTTTTAAGTGACTGAGTTTTGCATTCTTAGATGTCAAATGAGGTCATTGATGAAATACGTTTTTATTTTTCTATGATTCAGATAAACACTAGTACCGCAAAACTTTGGTTTTTATTTCCAACTTGGGCACTTGCTCCTTCGTTTAACTTTATGAGTGATGAATGTTTTAAAAAGATCAGAGGGCTACATGTGATGTGATAAGTAAGGCACTTGTTTCTAAGATGACTCTATTTTCTATCAGATATGCTGGAAAATGCTACACTGGCAATAGCAAAACCAGAGTTAAAATCCACATCCTACCTACAGGGACTTCAACTTTTATTAATGCCAATTTTCAAATGTTTTACCTAGAATGGGGTCAATTGTAATCATTTTGCAAGTCATTTGCTAAAGTATTACTGTATCTTTAATGAAAATAGATTTTGTTAAATTAAGCAGTGACTATAAAGCCTTCATAATGAAATTTGTCGGCAATTTGTATTTTTCAGAATCTCTGTGTTACTAAATTTAGTCTGACTAAATCTTTAGAGAGGTCACAAACTCATCTTTATGAAAATTCTTCAATTATACTTCAAATTAGTTCAGAAATTTTCCAACTAAGAAAGTGATGAATCTAATCATAGTTACCTAAGTGGTTTTGCATCTTATAACGTCCATAAAAACATGAAGATCTTTCTGAGACTGACGCACACAAGTTCATCTACAATTCTTTAGTTCTCCCAAGCGTTCATATTTTCATTGGAGGTTATTTACTATGTCTGGAATCTTAATGTTTGATGTCTTTAATGCGAAATAATACAAAAATATTTCAGTGTTCGGCCAACAAAAATTCATATGATCAACAAAAGGAAGGAATGTTTTCAGATCCTGGGTTTGGTTATTTTTGTTTCTGATGGGACAGATCTGCTGAACAGAGCTTACAAACTCCTTGTATCTCTCTCCCTTTCACTGCCCTCACTAAAAGTACATGCACACTCACACCCCTGCACAACGAGGTCCCAGTTGACTGTTAACACACAGATCAGCTCTAAGTCATGAAGCTTTTTAGAGGGAAATAAACTCTAATACTGACTACTCCTTTATTCTCTGGGTACATTTCATTACAAGTAATAGTACCCAGCTTTTCAATGCTTACAGGATCCCCTAGGAGTGTATCAGTTGAGCAGGCAAAAAAAACATATCTAGAAGTTTATTATTTTTTCCACTAATATACTTGACACCACCTCTGGAGAGCAAACAAAAGGCATACTGTCAAGCAGATAGACCTGGACAGAATGTTACTGTTTGTTCCTCACAAGCACAGAGGTATATTTAAGCAAAGAAAGACATTCCATGGCTCTCCTGGGACTTCCTTCCTTCAGCCGAATTACACCAACATGTTCACACCAGTGTGGTTCAGACTGAGTTGGAATTTAAAATGCAGACTTCTATTTGCCAGTGCTTAAATACCACGGCTATAAAAATTCATATGGGAATCAAAGTCGGCTCTAAAATATCATAGAACAAATAGAAAAAAATGTGTATACACATGAAATTACAGTAGAAGATATGGAAATAAGGAATGTCCTTGTTTGACAGATTCTCTGCTTATACAACAAAGCCTCAAAGTTGCCAGCAGTCACCTGGCTTTGGATTATGTTTCAAATCCGGGCTCACTGACATTCATGAAACTTTTGGCAAACATGGGACAAGTTTCGAGCAAGGCTGGGTAAAATACTGCTTTCATGTGGAACCTGTGTGAAACTCAGTGGCTCTGGTGAGGTTTCACCTTGAATTCCACATTCAAACAAACCAAAGTTTCAAGGTAAAATTAGGGGACAAAATACAATGGAATAAAGGAGGATAGGCAACCAAATAGGACAAATGGAATGGGACGGCCGTAACCATCATCCAAATGGATTTTACCCTGGTGCCATTTGATTTTGCAGTTGAACTTTACTGCCTTTAGCAACACATCTGCACTCTGCAGAACTGGGCCAAGCCTTCCGAGTACTTAGCAGAGTTCAGATGAAGCAGTGGACTATTTGTTCAAAATAACTGGGGTGGGTGGTTTAAAATATTGACTCCATACAGAAATATGAAGGTCAAAATGTTCCTTAGTATATAGACTGAAGGGGAGGAAAACCAGCAATTAAATGTACAGGTTTCATTTAAAAATTAGATTTAATATATCTAGAATCTCCTACTGTTAACCCAAATTCCAGAGACCCTTTTGCACGTGCTTTTAAAGAGGCAGCAGGCCTGGGTGGGGGGTGTCTCCACAGCTCCGCCCCTTTGAAGTAGGGTCCAGCAGCCACCAGCTTCCTTCCTTCTTAGCAAGGTGCAGGGTACAGGAGCAGGCTGTCAGCCCTGTGGCGCCACAGTCTGGGACTGAGGAGTCTCTTGACAGGATACGCTCCATGGATTCCTAGTCTCTAACAGGACATGCAGAGAAACATCTGGCAAGAACTGTCAAACTCAGTGTTTGCCTGAGGGTTTTGAATACACTCTGAATTTGGTTAGGAGAGTAAAGAGAAACAAAATAATACACACATAAGCTTTCTTTGAAATAATAAGAATACTGGACAGTTGACTGAATGGCTCATAAGTGCTCTACTGTGCTCAGTGAAGGAAACACTTATTTCTTAGCCCTTATCTTTCATACAACAGGAGTTTCACTAGGAGGACAAACTTCGGCTACTAAGGATTTTCTTCCTAGATTTTTAAAAACCTTTTCCTAGTTTTGCTTTGTCTTTTGTTTTCTTTTTTCTTCTTTGTTTTTCCTTTTTAAAAATTTTTTGTTATTCAAAAGACCAGTAAGTATTTAAATGCATATTTTCTTTTGAGATGTGATCTATGATACCAAAAATCTTCTTTGGAAAAAAAGAATCTTAAAACTCCAAAAATGTTAATGCTCAGGGTAAAAAAAACAAAACAAAACAAAACAAACAAAAAAACCAGCTGGACCCTAAGGCAATGGTGATGTTAAGAAGTGGATCCTTCAAGTGGGTGGCTGACAGAACTGGGCTCTGTGTGCTGTCCCTCGGTCTTGCTTTCAGACATATGCTAGATGGAGCAGCGAGTTGTCACAAAATCTACCTGGTAAAAGAACTTTGCCAGAAAACCCTTTCTTTCAGTTAGGAGTTCTATCTATAGAAAGAACATCTAAGACATGCCGGGGAGAAAAAACAAAGCTCCAATACCTATTTGAAGGAAATGTTATCAAAGCATTAAGCAGCAACAACAACAAAAAGACATTTTAGAGAACATAGTAAATAGTCACAATCAAAGTCAATGGTGTGTTTGAAGTTAAAGTCCACAGATCAAAGTACTTTGCAAAATGTCAAGTGCAGGCAGAAAGAGTGGGAGTCAGAAACGGTTTTATCATACTAGAGAAAACTGCCAGCGAATGTAGCTACCCACCAAAGAGTGAGTTTTGCTAAGGTAAAATAGTCTCAAAACTAAATCACGTTAGCTTGGACTATACATAGACAAAAACAAAAGCAAAAATCCCCTCAAAAAATAAGTAGCCTAACTACATATTAGCAGTAAACAAATCAGGGCTAAAAGAAAAGATAATATAGCTAAAGCATTGTCCTTCAGGAGCAATTACTAATATACTAGTTAGCAATTACTATATTACTAAATGGCAATTACTAATATACATTTTTATTAAGGTTGCATTTTTTCTTGTGCAAATGCCCGTAGAAAGTTAAAAATAGAAAAGCAGTCTAAACAACAAAATTATGATGTCTGAGAGATCTTCCCCCAGTGGTGGCAATCAAGCTTAATTAGAGTTGCGACCCGGCACTCAACTATTACTATATGGCAACAAGTACTGCAGACAGCTTGAGGCAAAGTTTAAAATTATAGCCACAAAACTGCTATTGCCCATGCTGGAACGCAGTATTTACCTGGGAACCAGTGGAAGCCTCTCTTATTTTTACTGTAAATAAGTTACTTTAAAAACATTACTCATAAACACATCAGAAAACAAACAACGTGAGAGTAGAAAATCTTACCTACAGGCAGCTGAGTTCCCAGTTGCTCTGTTCAGAGGAAATAGGAGTCAGTGGCCTTTTACATGTAGAGATTGTTTATTTAGCCCTTTTTAAAAGGTCTTGAACTCCAGCGGTTTAAGATTAAGTCCAATCCAAGTGTCTGAAGGGAAAAAAAAAGGGTAAGAGAGAAGGCAAATAAGAGAGGGAAAGAATCTCAGCTGCTGGGTGGTGCTACTGTCCAGAGAGCATTTGAGCTATTTTCAGCATTAACAGCAGCCGGACTTCTCTGAATCACCACCCCCCACCCAGGAGGTGTGTATGGGGGGGCGTGGACCGCAGACCAGGAAACCCACAACAACTTGGTTCATTGTGCCAATATTCATTTAAATCTGAGGAAAACTGCCAGCAATATTGAAAACACACACACACACACACACACACACACACACACACACACACGCAAACTTGGCTGGAATCTTAAAAAAAACCACAGTGCCTGTCCACACTCCTCAAGTTTCCTGATCTGTTGGAAATGAGATGCGCTAGCTTACTGAGAAGGAAGACTTTTCTCCTATGGGTTTTAAAACTCCATTTTGGATTTCTCAGGTAGGCACATCTGCTGCTAGCCTGTCTTTAAGGCTGTGCACAAATGGTTTCTTTCTAGCACTCTGCTAAATTTCCAGTTCCATCAACTATACGACTTTGGAAGCTACTGAGCTAAGCTGTTGACATTTCTTATCTGTTGGCAGAGACTGGAGACCATTCAGAGACACGCTGCAGACAGATGCTGATCCCTTTTTTCTATTTCTGTGGACCAACGAAGAAATAATTCATGTTGGGTCACCAACAATGACTGGCAAATTTTGAGCTTTCATTTTGTTTTTAGAATTAATGCCTAAGATCTAGAGGTTGCGTTCATTCATTCATTCATCAACTATTTAATGTGGCAAGCGCTTCTGTATGCCAAGTATCCTGAGAATACAATGGGAGAACAAGCCACAGCCCTGCTCTTAGAGGGTAACATCACATTGAGGCAGCAAAAGCTTAATTAAAAATGGAATCTGTAATATTTTTCTGTCCCACTTTTCACATGATGAGGTTGCTTCAATCATAACTATTCAAGACTGGGATCAGTTTCTAGGAAAACTGAAGGAAAGATCTCTGCTTTATCTCTCCCTTTCCTACCCTGCTAAGAAGAAATGGTAGTTCCCTTTACCAAGAAAACACAAGAATTTTCTAAAAGCTTTTATTCCGTGTAAATGAAGTCTCTGAATCTTATCCACTCCTTGCTCCCCACAGCAAAAAGTAAGCTCAAACAACAGAAAATGCTACTTTACTGAGATGATGAAAAAAGATACTCCAAACCGGACCCAGTATGAAACGCACTGATGTGGCCGGAGATGTAGCTCAGCAGGCATAAGCGCCTGCCTAGCAAACTTGAGGCTGGGAGTTTGATTTCTGGTACCCAAACATAAAATAAATAAATTAATAAAACTACTCTGATGTGTCTGATAATTGGTAATATGAGGATTAGTTACTGATGCTCATATCAAATCCAGTTCTTTCTTTGCCATTAAAGACAGTAGAGCTGGTTATAGAAAACATGGAGAATTATGTTTGATGTGTTTAAAAAAAAATCACAAGTCTATTTTGACTTTTCAACACAAGACTTTTACCTATGAGGCTTATTAGGTCAAAATCTGCACTTGAACAAACAGTTCATGCTGTTTAATGCTGCTCTCTGCTGCAGTTTAGGACAGATCCTGACCTGCTGCATGGCCTTGCCAAGGTCTCTTTTGTTCTTTAGGATCCTGACTGCTGGGCTGGGGGTTTAGCTCAGTGGCATAAGCGCCAAGCAACCCTTCCATAGTGCCTCTCAACAGATGGATGTCATGGAGAAGATGAATGGGACTTTGGGTACATCTTAAAAGGTTAAAGGACAGTAAACTCTGACTTCTCTATTTACTCAACTATTATAACTTTTATACACTATAGATATTTTAACATTATACTAATTATATTTGTTGATTTTGCTCATATTTTTGTTTTAGAAATACTGATTTTAAAAACTGGGAGACGATTATACAGGAAGGAGCTTCCTACATTTGCAAAACATTAAAAGTGGCTTTGGCATGTGGATAAAATGCTGACAGTAACATCGCTAATGCACTGGGTTTGGTAGGGTTTACATAAATTATGCATGGAAAATGCCCAAGTAATGTCTGACACATAGTGAGCATTTGATAAAAATCAGTGTTATTATCACTTTGTGAACAATCTGGAACACTACTATCCAATATGGTGACTAGTTGTGGCCCCTGAGTTTCTAAAACATGGCCAATTAGAACCGAAATGTTAGATAAGTGGGATGCACACTGAATTTTGAAGACAATATAAAAAATGTAAGCCATCATTAATTTTTCTATTGATTCCATGCTGAAACGACAATATTTTGGGGATACTGGGTTAAAAAGCTATTTTATTAAATTTAATTTAGCATTTTTCTTTTTACTTTTAAAAATGTGACTAGTAGGCAAATTTTAAAACCACATATATGGCTTACATTTTATTTTTATGGGACAATGCCCTAGAAGACAACAGTTTATGCAACTCTAGCAAGCATTGGTCATGTGGAAGGTTTTATAAAACACAGATTGCTGAGTCTCATGCCCAGAGTACTTAACTCAGTAGGTCTGGAGAAGGTGCTGAAATTTTGAATCTCTAATCAATCCCAAGATGATTCCTGACCACAACTGAGAACTTACGGTTGTCAGATTTGCTACTTAGAAATTGACCCATGAACCAGTGTTTATATTATCATCAAGATCTTACTAAAAATGCAAAATTTCAGTCACCATCCAGATCCACTGAAACAACATGTACACACCATTAAAATTCCCAGGCCATGGTATGCACATTGACATTTGACAGAAACTGGTATGGACAAGTATCTGTTAACCTTGTTATCATATAAAAATTATCTGAAAAAATACCAATACTCTGGGCCTATCCCTGAAGAGTTTTTTCACTTGGAGGAGATCTAAGCATCTGATCATCTAAAATGCTCCCCAGGTGATTGTAATGTACAAGGAAAAACTGAGAGCATTGTGGGCTATGCAGCCCCACAGATCAGATGCAGAGGAGGGGCCAGGACCTGGCACTCTTCCTGGTGCGGGGAATCCTTGGGAACTGTGTAGTGCTGGGGATATAAAATGTGTGCACATGGTGGGAACTGCTGAAACCCTACAGTAAGCGCAATGAGTGTGTGCTGTGGTCATCAGTGGGGAATCTGGCCAGACACACCCTATGCCCTTGCAGGTCTCACAAAGGTGCCAGCTGCTTTTGGTTTGGAGTTCAAAGGAAAGCATAAGCCCAGGGCAGCCTTAGTCTCACAGGGGTGAGAAGGCTAGACAAGTTACCTGGACAGAGATTCAGACTCTGAGGAAGTAGACTAGAGCCCAGTTGTAAGTACCCTGCTGTAAATCAAGAGTGGCCACATTAACAGAAGGTCTTCAATTCCGTAAATAACAGGATTGGTTAGGTTCAGAGGCTAGTACAGGAATGATCTTTCAGATAGAGGTGAAAAGAAAACACATCAAAAGGCCTGTTAGTTTCATGTTTCCTTATTTCCCTCTTTAACATACAAGAATTGAGAAGATTCTGAGTTAAGTATAGGCCTAGTTAAATAATATACAGTGTGGAGGTGGAACTGCTCGCCTTGAATACCTGTTCCATTTCCAACAACAACAAAAGGGTCCACCAAGGCACAGTTTTCAGAGAGCGATCCCTTTTTTGGGGGTATTTATATCTCAAGAGAGAATCTTAGTCCAAAAAATTTTCTGGTTGTCAGAACTGGTGAGAGAGATCTATATTTTGGAAGAGAGATGCCTTCTGTAACTTTTCACTACGTTTCTGTTCTTCCCTAAGTAAGTGAGCATACCAGCTTTAAGGGTCTGACTGATATCATTGTTTTGTCAAAAACTGCTGACTTTTTCAGTAGTCCCAGAGTGCTATGTGGTCCTGAGAGCTTTATAAAAACAAAATCCTCCCTGCAGCAGAACATCTAAGCTGACATTAACTGCATTTGAAACTGCCAGTTCTGGGCTGGAGACGTGGCTTAGTCCCAGAGTGCTTGCTTGACATGAGGCCTTGGGTTCAAGACTCACCACCAAAGAAGTCAAAACCTAACTAAGCAAAAAGCACCCAGGTCCACACATGGTGGCCACCTGTAGCTTTATTTCTCGTTTTGTTGGTCAGAGAGAATGCTTTAATGTGGCATTCAAAGCAGAGCTGGGCGCCAGGGTGCCTGGGCTTGAGTTCTGGTTGCGTATACGTGACTCTGGGTTGGTCACTCTTCCAGAGTCATCTTACTCGGTTATTGTGATGATTAAAATTGTTATTTGAAAAGAACATAAATCTTTTTCTGAAAAGAAAATTCGGTTTATCATAAATTCTATGTACCTTTTGGTTAAAAAAAATACATATTTGAATACATCTGCTGATTTCTACATGTGGTTAAATTATTTTTTGTATATTAAGATGATTTCTAAGGACTTTTATGAGCAAGATCTTCAAATACATGTAGTTTGTGACTTTTTGAGTATTGTTTAAATTTTCCCCCAGGGTACTTAGCATTCTCAATTGATTCCTCATCATTTCCTATTATTTGAGAGGCTCTCAGTAGGAAGGAAGTAAATGTAGTTTTCCCATGAATATTGTTTTCTCGAGTACATTTTTTCTCCCTGAAGTCCTTTGAAAAGTGAATTGTACTATACGTGTTTGAAGGCTTTTGTGGCTTGTGTCAGTTTAACAGCATTGTCTAATATCCCAGGAGAACAATGTGTCATTCTGTTGCTCAAATGTTGTAGTGTTTAGGGAGCGGTTGCAAGACCATCCGAAATACTGGCAGGAGTTTCAAAGGTGCATTGAAAAGGCAGTCAGATGTAGACTGCAGACACCAGACAATGCTGATTCGAGGAAGAGGTGGACCACTGAGGTCATGCTGCAAAATGATGCAAAATGAAGCCTAAATTAAGTGGAACACTTTTTACACGTGTTTGCTTTAAATATATTCAAAAAATGAAGCATATTGCAAGAGAAAGAATAATGCCTAACAGCATCATGTGCTAAGCACCCACCAGGTCATTTGTAGGAACCTTA